CCCCGGCCAGCCAGGTTCAAAGCTCTTGATCTCATCTCATTGTGCTGCTGTATATGTGTGTTGTGGCGACAGAGTTGGTTTGGCCTCAGCAGGCAGAAGATGGGAAACTAGAATAGGAGCTACGAGAACGCCTAGGAACTTGACACTTTCTCCAGTACTTGGTAGGAAAAGAGCAGCCAGGCCCAGTTTGGGGGGGACAGGGTTGCTTTCCCGACAAGGTAGGTCGGGTCTGAAAAGGCTGAAGAGACTGCCTGAGCTCTGAAAGGGCAGCCGATCCTAGCTTGGGAGAATTCAGTGGAAGGGAAAGTATCATCTCTTAAATCCAAAGGAGGAACTGATCCAGGGTCAAATTTCTTTTCATTCCCTGGATCATAATACACCCGAGAACAGAGGAATCAAGAATATCTCTTTCCTAGTTTTGTTATAACATCTCTCCCTGCCAATTCTCCCCACCCACCTGGCAACTCGGTTCTCTTTTCCCGACATTTGTCCTTTGAAAGGACGGAAAGCACTTCAGTTTGTTGTTGTTTTTCCTCAGACTGAAATAAAGCACCAAAGCTCAAAGTAGAGGTGATCCTAGAGTTCTGCTTTTCTGGTGTAATATGCCCCTATCTTACAAGACTGCCTGGAGGCAGGAGGTGCCAAGGTCCTCTCTGCCAACTCCAACAGGCACTACTATTTCCCTGGCTGCCGACACAATCCTGGCTCCTTGTTCTTGTTCTTCTGGGGGGGATACCTGTCCCAGGAGATCCAGCCTGCTCTTTTCCTGCCAATCCGGCCATCCTCAAATCATCTGCCTTGATCAAGATGATCCAGTCACCTGCACCTGGAGAAGCAGGCCAGCCAAAAGGCAGCCAGGGCAGGACAAACCAGACTGGCAGCAAGCCACATGTGGGTAAAGAAAGAAAGAAAAAAAAAATCCACCCTTACTGCCAAGTCAACCCCATTGGTTGCCAATCTAGTCTTGTTACAAAATGAGGAAACCTAGTCTTCTTGCCCGAGGACAGTCTAAAATCTGTAGTCAGAGCTTGGACTGAAAGGGAAAAAAACTGCTCTCATTTTTCTGAGGCTTGAACATCAAGGCTTCTTCAAAATTTCCTTCGAGCTCTTTGATCCCTATCTTTCCACAGAAGGGAAGCAGGTAGGTTTTTTGTTGTTTTTAGTTTTCCAAATAAATCCCGGGTGTTTCTGGTTCTGCCTCCATGGGTGACCACTGCCCTGTTCGCCTTCCTTGGGGCCATAGCAGCAAGAGCCTCAGAGCACATTCCCTTTCTTAAAGAAGTGTTTTGATTTGTTTTATTTCCTTCAAAACAGGAGCATCAATTAGTTTCTCATTTTGGAAAGCTCACCTGCTCTCTCAGGTCCTTTCGGACCTTGGCAAGAGAGGCACAGAGGACGATCATACAAGTTCCTGCTCGATGCCAGTAAGGCTCCTGAGGCAAGAAGATACTTGAACTGTCAGAGCAGGTCAGCGGACGGGATGGGGAGGGAAGGATAGGGAAGCAGTCCGTGACAGGACTGAAAGACCCCTGCCCAGACCTGAATCTAGAGGGAATGCCCACCCTGGCTCAGAGCAGGAGGGGAGAAGGCACTGTGCTGCCCGGGTGGGTCCTTCCCCCTTCCTGGGGGAGGGCAGAGAAGCGGCTGATTCTTTCCCTGGGCTTCCCGAGGTGAGCCGATTTCTAGGGAAAGAAATACTATGTGCTAGGAAAGGGAAGATACTGCTGCTGTTTTCCAAAGTTTGGCGAAAAGTCTATATGCCATGACCAGTCTTTCCCAAGAGAGGTGAGAGTCATGATAAGGAAGAAGAGAAAATCCTTAAAACAGAAGCTTCTCCAAACAGACAAGGAGTCAAAGCACAGTTCTAAAACTGGATCAAATAGTTCCCAAGCTTAGACAGGAGGAGGTACATATAACTCGGATGTCAGTGCATCTCATCGAAGCTCACTTAACCTCAATCTGATCCACTAAGTGCCAGCCAATACCTCAGGCTCCTCATAGTGGGAAGGCAAACACACAATCACACTCTCAGACCAACAGGTGGCCCTCTGGCTCCGGTGCTAGCCTCCTGGGACAGAAAGTAATGAGGGAAACTTGAAGACACTGTTTTTCAGTTCTTCAAAGCTGTGTAGCCAGGAACTGGTTCTCCAAATTAATGGAGCTTTAAAAAAAAAAAACAAACCAGAAACCTGGGCTCTGGTTGAAGGGTCCTAAGCCCCAGGGACAGCTCTCTGACAGTGCGAGTGAGGACCAACCCCCATCAGGGTGAGATGCAGACCCTTACGCCCATCTGCAGCAGGAGTTTCTGCAGAAACCACATTTTGATCAAAAAAGATTTTGACCCTGGAGGTTGGCTTTTGTTTTGAAGGACCTGGAAACCTGGGACAGAGTGTGGATCAGAGAAGTATGCCAGCCTCTCTTTCCCCTCTGTCTGGCTTTAGCCCCTCATTAAATCATTCAGCCCCAGGCTGACCCCTACAGTGACACCCGCTCCAGCCACAGCTGGAAAATGCAACAATGAACAACAAAATAGGTCTCAACACACAAAATACAAAAATAAAAATAAAGAGCACCCCATCCCACCCCTTTAACCACTTCATGTACCTGTAGCATCTTGGGAGGAGAAAAAACAAAAACCAAACAACAACAAAAAGCTTTCAAGTTCAGCATGGCAAATCAGCTGCAACAAGCGCCCTGGACAGCTCCTGTGGGCTCGGTGGGCTGGGCTCCAGGGATCTCTGTCCCAGCCATTATTCTCCTTCCTGTTTCCTCACTTCCTCTTTAGTGTTTGTTAACCAAAGAAAGACATTCCTTCCTTTAGAATACACTAGAGAGGAAAGTGCCCATCCGTATCCCTGAGCTCAGGGGGAGGGTTGGGCTTGGAAACAGAGGCAGAAGCAGAGCTGCTTGTCTTACAGTACCATTAGGAAAGGGCCCCAAGAGCAAGGGCTTCCTTCTGAGATGGTGTCTCAGAAGGATCAGGTGAGGAGACGGGGCCTCTCCTTCCTCAGAGACCTAGTCAAACTAACAAATTAGGTAAAATAAAGGCAGCAAGTCCTTCCTCATCTGTCCACTCTTCAGCAGCATTCTACGGCTTGGAGGATTTGGGACAGAATGGGAATAAAGCCATTGTCAGGAGCTTAGGTAAGTCAGGATGTCCCAGGCAGATGGTCCAGGACCAAGGCCAAGAGAATCCAAAGTTCCCAAAGCACTTGGGGAAATGTTTCCTCTGACAACAGCCGGCCAGGTGCCTGACTCCATATCTAGTCCTGGGGCCCATGCTGCAACTATAAGAAAAGCTACAACTCTCCAAGCCCGAAACGCTGGCTGGGAGCAGCTAGTTAAAAGCCAAGGACATGGCCCCAAGAGCTACTTACTATGTTGTATAAAGAGCAGTACAAATATATGGACTTCTTCAAATATCCAATAAATGTATCGAATAAGGCAAACTCAAAATTACACACATTCCAGAACGATGGGCCTGACCTGAGAGTCGATGGGGATCCAGCCCAAGCTGATGCTAACCTTGTTGCCTCCCATCCACAGTATTCCTTGTAGCTTGCCTGGTCCTCTCTCAGTGCTGTCCTAACTAGGAAATGATGACAGTGACGACAAAGAAGAAGAACAGGGATATTTCGTTTCCTGCAGAAACGACTCCAGGAAATGAAAGACCGATTATTTAGATACTCAGGTTGGCTTAAGAGCTGCCAGGACTGTGGTTGCCTGGAAATCCCTCAGCTCCACTATACCAAGAGCCTGGCTACTTGGGTCGGGGAATGAAAGGACAGAGGACCTTCCTGTCAAAACCCAGTGAAAAGCTTCCCTGGGCCTCAACTAGGTTGTAAGAGAGAACCAATCAGTCTAGTTCCTCAGGTCAGTTCTAGGCATAAACCAAAACTGGTTGAACTGTGACAGAAAACGTGTACTACAGAAGGACATGGGAATAAACATCAGCTACGAAACACTCCAAGCAGTGGTCAATCATGTAGGAGGGCTCAAGTCTCTGAGGTTGCTCTTCAGTTATGCTAACATAAGCCTTTTCTAATCCAAAGACCAGAAGAGACTTTTAAGGTCAAGTGTTCTGTTGCTGCAGGCTGGAAAGCATCGCTGCTCCCTGGCAGCAAGACCCTACAAAGGGGCCAGAAAAAGAACTGCTGGCTCAGAGTTCCAGGGAGGGAGGTACCAATAAGGTGAGGTGGTAGAGGATAAGACATTCAAGCAGAAGGAATCCACGTTCTCATGTCTCCTTCCTCCTTGGCAATAACTTAGTGGGCTGGTTGAGAGGAAGAAGAGATTGAAAATGAGCCAGATTAAGGGGGAGGAAAAAAAAAGAGAGGAATTCAAGTCCCCAGCAGGCACTGAAATAAAAATGATTTGTTGGAGTAATAAATCAGAGGCAACTTGAGGACCTGATGCAAACTAATTGTCTTGGATACCAGACAGTCCTCTAACTGGCACACATCAAGGAGACACGCGATGAGGAAGTTCAAACACTTGAGGTGGAGCCATCACTGGATGAAAGTCAGAAAGCCTTTCAAGTAAGAAAGCATCTACCTTTCTTTCCCTTCAAAAAAAAGTCCTCCTTCCTTTGTCTTTACTATACAAATTGTACATTTTCACATACACTCTCAATCTTAGGTCATCTGGAAACTTATTTGGACATAACTTCAGAACGTACCGAACTCCCAGCGCTGTTCTTCTCAGGAACTAAGATGGCATTTCCCTGCTGTTGATTTCGAACCTAAAGAAAGGGAACCATGACTTCTCTGAGCTCAGAGTTCTCTCCGCTAGGTATACAGACTTGGATCCTTGAATAGAATGGATCCAGTTTTACCCTAAGTATCCTAGAGAGAAAAGAGATGGCTGGGGGCCAGCCACAAAGAGAACTGAGACTGAAGCAAGTCTGGGACCAGGTGGTGGACGAGGGCTGCTCTCTACTCATTCGGCCTCTTTTCATCTCCTCTAATTTGTGTGTGTTTTGTTTGTTTGTTTGTTTTCTGTTAATCACTGTGAAAAGCACAGAAACCAAAACCAAGGTGTTGGCTTCTTTCCCATACCCCTCTGCCCTGTTCAGGATGGTAATTGGTTCTCACAAACGGCAGAGGCAGAAAAGGGTTGGAATGAAGACTCCAAAGGCCACCAGGATGGGAAACATGAGGCTGCTGTTGTCCGAGGCGTAGGGGTTGGGCGTGCGGGGGCCCGACTGCACCCGGTTCTTATTGGTCTGTCTTTTGAGATTAGACCCTTCATCATATTCTTCTTCTTCCTCTTCCTCTTCTTTCTTTTCCAATCCTGGATGAGGCTGCAGCTTTGGTACATCTGACATAAGAAAGTAAAAGACCATGTAAAGACCCTTATGAGCCACAAATAAACCAGGACCCAGAGATTCCTGTATCTTAACCAGGGTCCACAGGACAGAGCACTAACAGCACAATTAACCTCTGACCTGCAGCACAGTAGGATCCACAGTAAGCACTGTGTAAAGTAAAATAAATCCTCTTCAGATTTAGCTAAAAAGTAAGGATAGCTCTGCTCACAGGGAGGCTCACGGTATCCCCTACCTGTTCTTCTTGAATTCTGAGAGGACAAGATTCAACAGTGACGATTCAACACCCAAAACTGAGCCTTTTCAAGCACCCTCTGTGTGCTTTTACACAATTCTATCGTATTTCCATCTTCTTCCTTCCCCCTGCACCTCATTCATTCATTCATTCCACTTGGGTTGTACTATTTCTAATATTCTTGTCATCCTGCCCCCTTATTTCACCCACATCCCCTTTTTATTTAATCAGCCACTGAACTGAGGTTGATCTTAATAAGAGTGGTTCCAAAGTGTTGCCCAACCTCTTCCTTAAAAAAATCAAGGACACATTTGTTTGATGGTATGATAACTGCGCTAAATCATTTATCTGTATCCTTCGGAACACCAACACAACAGGATGAGGTCCTTAATGCATTCAGGGTGAGTTGGAAAAGAGGGAGAAAAGCTACTAAGTCACATATTTTCTCTGTAAAAATTAGCTGGGAAGGCAGGCAAGCTTTGTTAATCTAAACTCTAATGGAAAAAATAAACCCTAAGGCTGAATCCCAAGGGCAAGAAGACATTATAAAGAAATTCATGTCCTAGCATGGTCCAGCAACGTTTCAGGCTTTCATCTGTTACTAAAACCTTAAAGGATTCCTCTTTCTGCCTTTTCCTCTCTATTCCCAGAAAACAGATGTCAAACAAAGAAACAGAATAAGGTCACATTTTCAGAGATTCCAAATAACTGTGAGGGTCAGCACATACCAATATAAGTACCACTATCAAGTCTGATTTAACATCGTAGTTAATAGAAATTTGTCCAAGAATAAGCAGCTGATTAATTGGCAGCAAAAACATCTGAACACAAATCAAAGCTGGAGGCTTGTGGCTAACACCATGTTGTATCTCATGACCATCTAGCTGACTGCCCCACAATTTGGCTTTAAACAGGCATTTCCAAAATAGTCACCAGCTAAATTACTTCCCTTAAGGGGTTTCTCAACCACACTCTTCAGAACTTTTCAGAAGTAAAAAACTAGGTCAAAAACAGGACTTACCATCCACTGTTCCAGCCATGATGTAGAGTGCACAGACTTTGGGATTGTCATAGTACCCCTAAGAAACAGGAAACAGTGGTCAGCTCCACAAAGCAGCAAACATCTCGCCTCTACACTCTTCTGAGCCCTTCCTCCATTTTGAGACCAGGGCAGGGAGCATTACCTTGACAAACTCAATGTAGAGCTTCCCTGTGAAGGTAGACACCTCTCCCTGGACGCTCAACTTCCCCTTTCTGATGCTCATAGGGATGATCTCATCGTGGGCTGTGCTGTGCCCAACGCGGTCAAAGATGTCTAAATCCTTCACCACAACGTGGCCATTCAATCGCACATCAAACACCTTCCAGGATTAGAAAAGGAAACAACGTCAAACCCATCCAATTCACAACCTTTTAGCAGTTGGACATCAACTTAACTGAGTTTCAAGATAAAAAATCATTTGAGAAATTACTGGGTTGGAGGCACTTCAGCCCTTTACCTGGACTAAATCAAAACTCCTTCACTGTCAAGGAGACCTCATCCTGGGCTTACGGAACAAAGATTCACACAAAAATGCTCAGCGTGAAAAGAAGGGAATTCACAGGAAAGGACAGAAGAAAGTGTTTATAACAAAGAATGGAGAAATATCCAGTGGGCCTCAGCAGAACCACATGGCAATCAAGAACTAGGATTCTAGCACCGACCTCCAAAGCAGGCTCATGAGCAATGGGACATAACTTGTTGGGGACAGAAAGAATCCAGCTCTTCCTCAAAGCTCATCTGGTTCTCTCTTCTGAAGAGGCTGCTATACTCTCTGGTCTACAGCAGAGGACTGTCTATAAGAGTGGTAACCTCTCAAGGAGCTCTGGTGGCCTAGTGTCAAGAAGCTGTGCCGCAATCTCAAAGGTGCGTGGGTTCAAATTCTCTACTAGATAAGAAGGGGCAATCTTCTCCTGTGCCAGTTGGATCTGATTTGATGGCACACAGCAAGAAAAAAGAAGAAAAAAAAAAGAGTAGTAACTTCTCACCAACCAAGCACAGAGCCTGAAAAGGCCTCACCTTCTGCTGAGACTGTGCAAAGTAGACCTCAGCAAATTTCAACACCAGCACGTAGTCACCCTCTTCCTTAATGGGCACTTCGTAGCCAAAAGTCTCCTCATTGTACCTCTCAGTTTGATACAGGATCTGGTCCTCGGGGTTGGAGCGCAGGATTGGCAGTTTCATGCCATAGTCTGAGGCTAGGGACAAAAGACAAAGAGAAACCACATCAGAGGCAAAGCATAAAAGAAATGCTGAGACCCCAGAACTGCCAGAGGCATTTCTAGGGTAAAGCTAATAACCCACCCTGTGCAAGGGGCCACCCTCTCTGCACCTGGCTCCAAACAGACTGGACACAAAGGATATGAAGGCCATTTCCAAGGAAGAGTAAAATGAAAGAAACCTCACACTAATTACCCCAACAGTCCCCACAGTCTTCTGTGAAGAACTTTTTGAAAACACATTAAAATGACTTTCTCAAAGAATGTGGAAAGTGGTGGGAACAAAACAAATTTACCTCATTATTGGGGGGGGGGGAGGCACTATACTGCAGCTGCCTGGTTTCCTGAGAGGCAGCGCTTCAGAGGAACCTCATAAAACAAGAGGGGTGGCCAAGAAGTCTGTACAAGATGAATTAGACTCCAGGATCTCCCCACCCCCAACCCCATTCAGAAATGCCAGAGTCAAAACCAAACAGGATATCTGATTAGGAAAGTCAGTATTTGTTTTAAGTACAAGTAAGATGCCAACATACATGGTTTTCTACGGTTTTTCTTCACAAAGCTCCAAGGCTGGAGAAGTGATATGTGGACATCAATAGGAAACTTTCTGATTTCCTTTTGATTCCAGAGACTCACTAAACTCCACCTTGCCTACTCTCTGGAATATTCCCCCAGGTAAACCAAAACCAGAAAAAAGCTCCTGACACAGTGCCTGGCACGTAGTAGGCAGGCACTCAGGATCAGGACTGAGCAAACGCAGGCTCTGAAGAAGGGGCCCACACAGTTGAGAGGCTTGCTGCTGTTTCCACAGGTTAGTGCCAGGTGGCCAGGAGAGACACTCTGCTTTGAGATGCTCATACTCCTGGAAGTAAAGGGTCACCTTTTCCTACTTCACAGACCAAGAGCAATAAGGCAAAAATTAAAGTCACTTCCTTGACAGGTGATTAGGCTGTATGTGTACTTCCCCCCATAGAATAAAACTGAAGTCTTAACTCAAATATCAGACACCATCACATTCTAGCCCCACAGATGTCATCTGGAAACTCCTTTTACCCCATCAACACAATGAGGCTCTCCAGGGCTCCACAAACCTACTTTCCAGACTAGATATAGAAACGATTTCTGTACAGAGACTTGTATGCCATCCTGGAATTGAGATTTCAGGTGCACCTTCAAATCTCTGAATTGACTCTGAAGATATCTGGCACACTGAGATCTTGGGAGACCCCCAAAACCAGTTTTCCTAGGAGCTTTACCTTCTGGACCACCAAAATTCCAAAGGATAGAAGACAGCAAAAGGTAAATAACCAAAAGACTCCATGGCTAATTCAAGTCCTCAAAAGCAGAGGTAGAGCTGTTAACACTTGCCAGGAGATCAGAAAGATGATGAGATGGCCCAACAGGAAACTTGCTTCACTTAAATGCCGCCCCCCCCCCTCTCCTCAAGGAACCAAATCAAAGAAGGATAACTGAGTAGCACTACAAAGGACATTCTGCTAACATGCCCCAGCTCTTTCCCAGGCTCAAACAAACCCCCCACAAAACAAAAAAACCATTACCCTGGGGCACAAACCTATAAAGATTAAAGGACTATTTCTCTTCCAACTGAGTTCCAACAATTTCCTTCTTCCACGAGGCCCATGACCCTTATAAATTTGGAACATTAAGTAGATTTGATTTATAGATACAAAGAAAATTCTGAGCATGTGTGTAGAATCCTTTTCCTGTCAGTGGAAAAACTGAGAAACAGGCAGTAATGTAATCTGTGGCAGTCTCAGATCCATCAAGGAAACTCAGCCACGGGAACAAAAACTGCTCAACAACCTTGGAACTACTTTTAACCATTTCCCTTTTAAAGCCCAACTGGCTTTTCCCCAAGAGATCTGCCACATGCAAAGTTGAATTTGCCTACATCCCATGAGATAGAGCAGCAGAAAAACAACAACAACAAAAAAACCCCAACCCAGCCCATTTATTCCTCCCCCTTTAAAGACCTTTACACATTCTCGGCTGACAGATTTCTTCAAAATACAGAGAAATGTACCATCAGCACACTGCTGAACCTGAAGTGATATTGCTTAGGCAGCAAACAAAAGGGAAGAAAGTCAAAGAGCATACATAGTGCCTGCAGCTTCTTAATCCTAGACTATCCATTAGTCTAGCTATTTGGAAAATAATGTCCACTTTCAGAACAACACAGTACTGGTCTGCCACTGATTACATGATGTTGAACAACTTTCTTCCAAGTCTGTTTTCTTACCTGCAAAATGGAGGTATCACCTACAAAGAACATAAACAGTTGCCATGAGCTTAATGGAGCTTCTGGGTGGTGCAATCTGTTAACAAGTTCAACTATGAACTGAAAGGCTGATGGTTTGAGCCTACCAGAAGTACCTCTGGAGAAACCTCCGATGATTCCTTTTTGATAAATCAATCTGTCTTTGAAAACCCCAGAAAGCCCAGTTCTGTTCTGACACGGGGTAGCCTTAAGTCACGATCTACTCCAAGGTAATTGGTTAGAGTTTAATACAGTATCTCACATAGAGATACAGACAGACATGGAGGTCTATTAGTCAAGTAAGCAAAGAATAAGTACTAAATAAACACTTCCACCTTAGGGAGTTTAGGGAATGGAAGTAATAACACTTAACTAGAATATTATGCTCTGGTTTGTAGTCCACAGAGAGTGCCACAGCTAACCCAAAGGCCACGCATCCCTGAAGGTTCAAATCCACAAACACTTTTAAGAAAGAAATCTCCCCTGTGATTTACAGCCTGAGAAAACCCACAGAGGGGACCAGCTATGAGTCGATTCCAACTCAGTGACAATGAGCAGTGGGCCCGTATCACAGCTGTGAGCTGCAGAAATGAGCCAAAAGAGCAAGACACTATCCTAAACAAGACCCCGGTGGCGTCTCTGGGTCCTTCTACATGGCTCACCAACATCCTCACATGGGACCACTAGATTATTCCCCATCACTTCTTTCTCAAGCAAGCCCATTTTGTTTGTTTTTTGTTAAAGTGAGGCCAATCTCATAAAATTATCCTGCTCTACTAGGGTGACCTGCCTCTTTAAATGGCAGAACAGGGACAGAACTGCAGACAAATCCTGTGGCCTTAAACAAATCTGACATATCAGGGACTTCTATCTCTCCAGCTTCTGGCTTGCTCCCAGAAGGTCAAATCCTTCCCCCTCGCTGAAGGGAAGGGTGCCCAGGAAAGGGTCTCCTTGACGATAGAGAATCAGTAATCTAATAAGCTCAGGCCCACAGCCAGGATTTTTCCCCCTCTTCTGGAACTATTTTCCACCCTACTTTTAATTCTAGTAAAAGGTCATCATGCAAGGAAAGGATAGAGACACTTTAACCTTACACTGGATAGAAGTTTTCTGAGCTCATGCATGTCACAGGCTTCTAAAGTGTGGGAAGTCTTACAGAGAAGAAAAACACGGCTCAGAGTGAAGTGGATTCTTCAAGGTCATATACACTGATTGGCAAACACCTTTCTCTGAAAAGACAGCCTCCTAAAAACAATACAAGTTCTGTGCCCAGGCCAAATAACCAGGTCTTTCCCCAGTCAGGAGTCCAGTGCAGCAGCAACCCAGAACGTGCTGAAATCCAGAATCCCAAGGTAAACACTTCTAAACCACTCTCCACACTTCCACAGGATGGAGGAGCCATCTCCAGGCTGCCAGCGTCTCCGACGAGCAGTAGCTATCCTCCGAGAAGAAGCCAAATTCGCTAAATTAATTGCCTATGAAAATATAAGCCACCAGGTGCCCTGTGCCTCTTACAGTCACAAGGCAAACACTACAGAGAAACAGCAAGTTCAAAAGCAGGCCAGAACCTTATCTGGCCTAACTTGGCAACAAATACCTGAATTCATTCAACACAAAAGGAACTCTCTTTCAGCATGCTAGAAATATCTTGCACGTGGGACAAGAAATCTGTACATATCTTACTGCAGTTAGTGTAAACAGCTGCATGAGGCTAGGGTCTCCACATACCTGGCACACCCTGCTTGAAACAGCGGAGGAGAGTCAGAGGAGAGCCAACAGCTGCGCTTCCCTTGGCAGGGTAGACTCCTTAGCACAGAAAGAAACAGAAAGCTCTGCCTTGTATCAGTGGCAGCTTCAACAGTCTCGGCCCCTGGTTTATATGATTTTTAGGGGCCATCAAGTAGATTACCACGTATACCAACACCACGTGACAGAGTAGAACTTCCCCAAAGGGTTTTCGGAACTGAGATCTTTACAGGGGCTAATCGCCAGATCTTTCTCCTGTGGTTCAGCTGAGTGGGTTCAACTAGCCTTTCAGTTAGCAGCCAGTTGTTTAACTGTTACATCACCTGGGCTCCCTGACCTGCAAAAATGTTACTCCTAAAAACCTACTAAGGGCAATGTTCCAATAGACGGGTACAAACCACCACCTCCCACCAGCCTCATCAGGCCTTAAAACTGCTACAACTCATACCCAGATCCTCAGACAGAAGAGATCAAGGGGCCTCTGTTGATATACATTGACACAGTGGCTCATGTAAAGGTAAACCCTCCAGCATTAAATCTAGTATCGTTTCTCCTAACAGTACCTGCTCTGATAAACTCCTCCTACAGAATTATAATACACCATGTGCCAAGAAGTCAAAGGCAGGAGCCTGGCTGATTGCTGACCAGTCTTAAAAAAAAAACAAAAACACAAAAAAACAAAACCAAGACAGACATTTTTTGTGTACCAGCACCAGCAAATTAAAACCAGAATACTTTCTGAATCAGGGCAGGACAGTACCTGGAGACTACACCTGAGTCAAGGCTTTACTCTTCTTGCACAGTAGGCCTAACAGGGCAAGATAAAGCCTGTGATCTGCTAAGCGCAAAAAAGCCTTATCTGCCCACTCTCCACCGTGCCTATTTCAAGAGGCAAAGTCCACAAACCGCCTCTTGAGTTTCCTCCAGGGCTCCTTCCTCCCTGCCCAAACCAACTGGGAAAGAGGAAGGGTCCAGGATGAAGATAGTAATGACCTTCTGCTGTAAAGCCTGCCTTTGGCTGCCATTACAGCCTCTAAAGACTGGGGCCCTGACTCAGCTGAACCCAGGCTACAGCGACCTACATGCCAGCACTCAAATTCCAGGACAAACACTGAACCTCAAAAAACAGCCCTGGGTCCCCAGACCCTCACGTGTACAAACGAGATCAATTTCAGGACGTGGCAAACCGACTTAGAGCCATGCTAAACACTTGATAGAGTAACAGCCAAGCAGCCAATCTGGAATTCACGGAGAAAGAAAAAAGTCTGTCTCTCCCAGTTGCCTGGAGCAGCATGCTGCCAATTCCGCAGCCTTGCAATCCAGCCCGAGGTGGATTTGAACCACAGACCTTTTGTGTTATAGCTGAACACTTGAATCACTGTGCCACCGGGGACTCCTCTGAACCATGAGGCAAAGGAATGCCTCCTTCAGCCCCACTTTGCAAACCCAACTGGAAAAGAAAGCGACAGGCGTGCAGATTGACCCTAACGACTGCTGGGGGAGGGTGGTAGGGGGGAGCCCACCACCGCAGAAGCCCACGCTCAGTCCGCTCAGTCCCAAGGACTGGGCTTCATCTACTAGGTCCAGAGTGGGGGACAAGGCTTCTTCTGCATTTCAAAGCAGCTTCCCGGGGCAATGCTTAACCAACTTTGAAAACCGTGCAGCCTCATTTAAAAATTTAAAAAAAAAAAAAAGGGACACGGCAGTTGCTCAACCAGTTCACCAAAAAAAGAAAAAAAATCCAACCCAAAAACCCTCTCTTTGACCATCGGATGGAATCAGACCTCCTCGTGGGGCCACTTTGGGGCTTGTTCCATGACGTCTCACAGGGCGAATATTCAGACCATACCCTGGGGGGCTGGGGGGCCCGGCGGTCACCTCCCTGCAGCCCCCCGCGAGCAGGAGGGCTGCAATGTGACCACTGCCCGGGGCAGCCGACAGCTTGGGCTTCTTAGCACAGAGATTTCTCGCTCGGAGGGGGAGGGGGAGGGGGCAGCGGAGGAGGAGGCTGCAATCAAACTTTCCTGGCCCATCGTCCCCTAAAACTCCTTTCTCTCCTGGCGGAGCCTCAAGCCCCGCTCCTGCGAGACCGAAGCAGGGGAAAGGGGCGGTTTTCGGGGTCGCCGGGAATCGGACCACGAGCAGGAGCGGCGCCAGGGGCCGCGGCGATGACCCCCGACCCCGGGGAGGGGCGCGAGATGGCAAGAGGTCGTCGCCCCCCGTCTTTACGTCCCCAGCTTGGGGGTGGGGGAGCGAGAAGGTGAAAGGTCACGAGCAAGCAAGCCGCGAGCTCCCAGAATAACTTCTCGCCAACTCTCTGCCTCAATGGCTCTCGGCAGCGCCAGGTCCCGCGGTCCCCGGGTGGGGAGGTCCCCGGGGAGGGTCTCCGCTCCGAGACGTGGTCGCGCGGCCCACAACCCTCGGTGCCCGGCAGGCCCGGGAGCCCCGCGGGCTCGGCCGAGGGGCTCTCACCTCGGCCCACCCGGCCCTCCAAAGGGTCCTTGCGGAAGTGGATCCCGTGCACATCCACATGCGCTTCGCCGCCCGCGTTGACGGCCCAAATGACGCTGTCGGGCAGCCCGGCCCCCGCCAAGCCGGCCACGCCGAGCTCCGGCCCCCGGAGCGCCGGCAGCGGCAGCAGCAGCAGCAGCAGCAGTCGCAGGAGCGCCACCGCAGCTCCCTCAACCGCCCGGGCCTCCAGCATGGCGGGCACCACCGCGGGGGGCAGCCCCCGCCGACCCTCGTCCTCGTCTGGCCACCAGGCCACCCCGGACTCAGAGAAACAGCGCCACGGGCTGCTCTGCCTCAGCAAACGGGGACATATCGCTATCAGGCCTCCTTCTGCTCGGCCAACAGTGCCGCCTCCCACCTCAGGAACAACCTACCCCGCCGCCCTGCCTCCCGGCCACCGCCTACAGCCAATCAGCGCCCGGCCCTCATTAATTACCCACCACCCCGCCGAGTGCTGCCAGCCCATTGGCTGCCAGGCGCGCGAGGGGGCGTGGCCACTCGCAGGCTCTGGCCCAACCATCAGGCCAGAGACGGAGCGCGCGCAGAGGGAGGGAGTTCGGTTGAAGCGGCGGTTCGATGCGGAAGTGGCGGAGTGCAGCACCCAGGCGGCCCCGGAATCCCGCTGCTGAATGGGGAAGGTGGCCTGGGGGGGAAGGTTTAGGATAGGGCGCACTGACACGTAGCCAGCACTTCCGGCGCCCCAGACTTGGGACCTAGAGGGGGCGTTGCCCATTTTCCCGCCCCTTCATTCTTTTTCGGAGACATGAACATTCTCCTCCTTCTCTAGCAGGAGAAGCAATGGACATTTTCTGAACTGGAAGGCTTTCCCCGGGTAAGGTAAAGGACCCACTGGCCCCTACAAAGACCACATGCACGGGTCCTCCGGACACAATCCCACGAGGACGAGACCACGCCCCCACCCCTTAGCAGGCTTGGGGCTAGTGGTAGCGTCCAGACAGCCGTCCAATCAGAAGGCTACAACGCAGCGGAAACGCGTGGCCTTTTGGGGGAGGGACTCTAGGCTGCGTGGGTTTCTATGGCGACGGCCAGGCTGGCATCAGTAGCAGAGGGGCGGGGGCGGGGCTTCCCCTGGCCTAGTGTAGAAGGCCTGGTGCTGGGCACCGGCAGGGACGGCGGTACCCTGCCCGGTCACTGCCCTTTGGTAATTCATCCAGAGTTCTCCTGCTCTTGGCGATCTCTGTGCTACGGTGACTACCCAAAATTCCATTTTACAGATAAGGCAAACTGAGGCACGAAACGAGGCAGGGTCTTGCTTAAGGGTCACACCTCGAAGTTAAGACAGAAATCCATTCAACAAATATGGTATTATCGAGCACTTGCTATTATTGTTACCCGATTAAAAAGATTTGTTTACCTGAAATTAAAATTTAACTGGGTTTCCTGGATTTTGACAACCCTACCTACTATGTGTCAAACAATGAACTGTATATGCAGCAGTGAACAAAAAAAATACATCCAGAACACGAAGGGGCAGGGGAGGATCTTGGGCTTTGAACACCCCGCCAATCAATCAGTTTGGAACAGTGAGAAGTATTCTAAAGAAACAACCTTCAGATAACCAGTAAATACAAGAAGAAATGGTCAAGATCATTAACTATTACCAAATGCCCTAGGGTCAGAACTGACTCACAGCCTGGTTTTCAGAGGCTGTAAATCCTACAGGAGGGGATTTCCTATCTTTTTTCTACGGAGAAGCTGGTGAATTGTGGTACGCCTTGGATTGGCAAGAACATTTCTCTCTTACCATTAAGCCAACAGAGCTTCCGCAAACGATTAGACAGATGCAAACCAGAACAATGAGATACTACCTCATTCCAGCAACAATAGAAAGTTAAGTAAGACAGTAAACAATGCTTGGGCAGGGTGTGGAGTGATTAGAACACTCATATAAAACTCATGGCAATGTAAAATGGCACAACCACTGGGGAAAACTGGCACTGTCTTTAAAAGTTGTAAATAGAAATATCTGAAACACAGTGTGAGTGTAAGAATGTGTGAAATGCAATCTACATGGGTAATACACAATCTGTAAGAATTTTGTATGCAAACTAAAAATATTAAAGTTTTGGTGGTTGGTGTTGAGTGCCATCAAGTCATAGATGACTCATAGTGACCCTGTGAACGAAAGACCTGAACACTTGTAAAACTATCTTTTCTCCAAGTTCATAGAGTTTCTGGAGGCAAGCTATTTCAGAAGTGAATGCCACTCCTGCATCCAAGCTTGTTTTAATCAGGGTTTAATCCACCAAACACTGTCCACCATCAATAACCATTCTCACATTTGACACATCGGTGTCACAGTGTTCAGCTTCACAGCAACCAGGAGTTACCTCTAAGAAATATCATTTGATCTAGCAATGCCACTATTAGAGGATATACACTAGGTATATATTGTAAAGACCATACCAACTACAGGACATAAAAGGCATACCTATGTTCTATTCAGCTTTCACAGTAGCAAAGAGATGGAAACAACCGAAGTGTCCAATCAGTAGATGAAGGGATAAACTGATACAGACACACAAAGGAATGCTATGCTACACTAAAGAATAATAAATTCTAGGGGAGCTCTGGTGGCCTAGAGGCAAGAAGCTGCACTGCAATCCCAGAAGCTCATGGTTCAAATCCACCAGATGCTCTGCTGAGAAAGGAGGGACAATCTCCTGTACCAGTCAGATCCGATTTGACGGTACACACACACAAAATAATAAAATAATAAAAATTTTTTAAAAAATACATTAAAAAGAATAATAAATTCTTAAGACACTGCATAACATGGGTAAATATGGTAGACATAATGCTGAGTTAAATAAATCAGTAATCAAAGGACAAATATTGTATGAGTGTATGGATATAAAGCTAAAGAAATTTTTACACACAGAAGGAAACATTTTTGGATGGTTACTAGAGATGGGAAGTGGGGGGTGGAAATCAGTGAATTGAGAGAAGGCACATATTAAGATGAGTGTAGGAAAAGCGATATAATGAAGGGATTGTTGTTGTTGTTTGATGCCATCGAGTCGTAGACGACTCATAGCGACCCTATGAATGAACGGCCTGAGCATTGTTCGTACATAGAGTTTCCGGAGGCAAGCCATTTCGGAAGTGGATGCCGCTCCTGCTTCCAGGCTTGGTTCAGTCAGGAAGCTCCAGCTAGCACTGTCCACCATGAGTACCCATTAACACGACTGGCACATCACTGTCACAGTCTAATGAAGGGATAGTCAACACAGTAACACTAAAAGAAAGAAAAAGAAGACAAAAGCAGAGTTTGGAAATGAGTGAGGTAGCTTTGAGAGGTGTCTGTCCCATCCTAATCCACTTCTTTCCCCTATTTGGCAAACATCTGGCCTTGTTTCCCCTATAAGCCTCTTTCCCAGCTCAAGCCCGGCACTATTGTTGTTGCTGTTTTGTACCATTGAGTCAGAATTAACTCATACAGACCCTCCAGTGGGTTTTCAGAGGCAGTTGATCTCTCATAAGATTTACTGCACACAACAACCACTCAATCACCCAGGAGATTACCCATCTTTCCCCCTGCAGAGCAGCTGGTGGATCTGAACAACCTACCTTTGGGTTGACAGTGCGACTTCGTTCCACTGAGTTCCTGGGCACCCTGTACTAGGTATTCTAATTCCACTTTTTCTGAAAATTGTCATCTCTGGAGGAGGGTGACAATACAGAGCTTGGCTATCCCTCAGGGTCAAGGTACAAAAGAGGGGACATGAGGACAAAGAAGTGATGTGATTTCCAGTTGGCCTGCAGAATCTTTGTTCTGGTCATAAACTACATCATCTTCAAGAGCTCAAGTTTACTTATCTTCAAAGCAGTTTAGTTTAGTCCATCCCAGATTAGACCATTGAGGAGACCTCAGCTAACCTACCCCCAAACCTGCTCCCAGTCCTGGGATCTTTGGTCACCACAGGAAGTGAATAAGAAACCTGACAAGCCCCCATTGGGCTCCTGCTGTACAGCAGTATAATGGAGTCAACTTAGATAAAAGACAAACGCGCTTTGTTGAATAGAGGCAACCCAGCCAAATGGGGAAAGGCCTGTTGTCACAGAATGAAAATGATGCCTCCACCTGACCAGGGAAAAAGGGGTATCCTTTTTTAAAAACTGTGGTTTGAGTGGAAGTTTACGAAGCAGATTTTTTTTTCATATACATTTTGTTTGAGAGGGCTACATTCTTGTACTGTTGGACCAGGAACTAAAGGTTACAAAATTAATAATTGGCTGAAAGACCATCAGGGGAGTTTAAGGCGGGAGAACTTGGCAGGAATTGGTGCATAGCCTGTAAGTGGTCTTACGTGATTGGTTAAAGATACATGCCTTTCCGTTTATTACAGGGTACTCCTAGGGCAGTGACAAGACAGGTTTTCCTGGTGACCTATTAATAGTTTCTTTATGGAAACAGACTGTCATATCTTTGTCCTGCAGAGTAGCTGGTGGGCTTGAACTGTTGGACGTTAAGTTAGCAGCTTGATTGCTTAACCATTGCACCACTTGTTGTTGTTGTTAAGTGCCGTCAAGTCGTAGATGACTCTTTGAAACCCTATAAAAGAAAGACCTGAACACTTGTATAACTTTCATCGTTTCTCTAAGTTCATAGAATTTCCTGAGGCAAGCTATTTCAGAAATGGATGCCACTTCTGCTTCCAAGCCTGTGTTAGTCTGGGAGCTCCACCACTGTCCACTATGGGTGACCACTATCTCATTTGTCACATCAGTGTCACAGTGTTCAGCATCACAGCAACTAAGAGTTACCTCTGTACAGTAAATAGACCAGTGCTATACCACTTAGAATGTTTGACCAAAAACAATTAAAATCAGGCCTGAGGGCCGTAGATTAAAATCACCCACCTTTGGATTGCACCACTAGGGCTCTTTACAATTCACTGCTATTGAATCATTCTGATTCATTGCTGACCCTTCAGTGGGTTTTCTGAGACTGTAAATCTTCAGAGAGGAGATTGCCCATCTTTTGTCCACTAAGCTCCTGTTAGATTTAAACCATCAGAAGATGCATCACCTATGAATTTAGCAGCACAAATATCTACCAGTTACTCTACAGAGGCAATGAGTTTAAGTTTGAGGAGTTTTTATTAGTAAAGTGCCTCAGTCATACCATTCAAACAAAACAAAGGGATACTGCATGATTTTAAAATCAGGAAAGTTGTGCATGAGGGTTGTATCTATTCCCTGTACTGAACAAATCATTCCAGAAGCTAGATGTAAGCTAGATGTTATGAAGGGAGCCCTGGTGGCCTAGCAGTAAGGAGTTGTGCTG